TCTTGATAAGTGAAAAGATGCTTATCATCGCTTATATAACTTCCAAAAGATTCACAAAGTGAAGTTTTTACTTTTATGAAAGATCGTTACCCTATGACCAACAGAAATATTAATATGTCTGCCTTAAATAAACCGGTCGACACTCGAACTAGCTGTTATTAATGCTAAACGTGAAAAGGCGTGTGGCCTTGAGTGTTTACCCTCTGAGGTCCTTAGAAACTCCGCCTGTGTTCATTTACAGTATAGAATCTTTAAACATTGTTTTAATAAGGGAGTAATGCCCTCCTAGTGGAATGAAGGTATTGTTAACCAATACCTAAATCTGGTATGAGGGATCCCCGTAACCCACTTAATTGGGGCATAACCCTTATATCAATTCCAGGCAAGATTTATGCAGATATTCTTAACATTCGTTTGAGCAATTGGTCGGAGAAAAATGACATGTCAGTCGATGAACAGAATGGTTTCCGTTCTGACAGAGTTTGTATTAATCATCTTTACGTTTTATCGTCTTCAATTCAGACATGAAAAGCCCTAAAAGTGTCCACTTCTGTTTGCTTTGTTGATTTAAAAAAAACACATTCGACACTGTTAATTGAGAGTGTCTGTGGTTTAAATTGTTCCACCTTGTATAAGAGGCAAAATATTAGATGCCATCCAATCTCTCTATAACAATGTTACCTGAGTTGTTAAATCCAATGAATATTTTACTGATACTTTCCCAGTGATGTCTGGTGTACAAGTACAGGGGTACAAGTTATCCCCAACGTTATTTGCTGTTTATAAAAACGACTGAGCCCATTGTATTGACAACCTCAACCGTGGTGTTCAACTTGTGATTATATCATTTTGATGTATGCAGACGATATAGCGCTCGTAGCGCCTGACGAAAAGTCTTTGCAGACAATGTTGAATGTTTTAGATGTGTGGTGCAAACATTGGAAATTAACTGTAAGTGCAAGTAAAACAAACACTGTACATTTTAGATGTCCTTCAGTGACGAAATCTAATTTTCTTTTCACATGTAATGGTAATACCATTGAGTATGTTGAGTGTTATAGATACCTCGGTATCTGGTTGAACGAACATCTTGATATGAAGAAATCTGTCAGATAACTGTATAAATCTGCCAGTAGAGCACAGTCCTCTTTATTTTCTAAGTTTGAGGCTGCTGGCGGCATGTCATATGATGTGTTTAAAAAGCTGTAGGAAACTTTCGTTCAATCAGTGATGTTGTACGGCTCCGGTTTATTGGGCATTAACACATACAGAGATATCAATACATTGCAGAACAAAGCATGTCGCTTCTTTCTTAACCTGGCTGTTAATGGTGATATGGGTTTTAATTCGCCAACTGTTAAAACTGTCATGGATGTTTTAAGACTTTACATTAAGTTGTTAAGTGCAAATACTCGTAAAATAAGCAAAACTTCTAAACATATGTTTAACATGTCGAAACGATTTAAAACATCATGGAGAAGCAATTTGAAAAACATGCCTGTAAGTTCAATGTAGACAAAATCCTGTTATCTTCCATTCCTAGAAAGGAAAAAATACAAAAATGCATTGATATTCTCATACAAGATGATAAACAGAAATGGAAAAATGATAGACATATCATAAATGGTAATAAGCTAAGAACATACATGCTTTTTTAAATTAGACTTGACTGTTGAAAATTATGAGCGAACGCTTAACCACTTAACTGCCTAACCGCCCTATTTTATCTGAGGCATGGGAATCAGCGAAAATACAAAAATATATGGTATTATGTTTGAAACCAAGAAACGAAATAAAAAAGATATTTTTGCTGTTGATAGATTTTGATGACTCAATGCCTCGATGGATACCCTTTGTGCTTTAAACAGAATGTAGGGTTTGAAAATAAACATTGATAAAAACTAGGCAATATGGGTTGGGCTAGTGTCAGGAAGTCAAGTTAAGCTATATCAACAATAGGTCGTATACTTGTGTCACAAACCTTTGAGGTTCTACGCATAATTCGTAATGCTCAATTAGATTATTCGTTGGTAATCAATACCAGAAAGAGAATTCTAACTAAGAATAAGAAAAAACGTCTCGGTAAGATAACAGTGATAAAAAAGCATCAACACTATCTGCTCTGGTGCATATCTTCCTACGTCTTATTGAAATCTTATGTAAATGTTGTTTTCTTACTTTCATCTGGAATGACAAGATTAAAAAAGTATATCACAAAAAGGAAGGAGGATTAAAAATGACTGACTTAACAACTCACTGAAGAGTTTAACTATTACACGAAGTGCACTGGAAAACTCTTCAATTGGATTTAGAAAAAAATATACTTGAACCACTTTGGCAAAACATCAGTTTTCAGACCCATGTATTATTATTCATAATTACTATAATAAGGGTATTCATGCATTTAGTGAGTGAGTGAGTGAGTTGGGTTTTACGCCGCTTTTAACAGTATTCCAGTTATATCACGGCGTGTCAGCTTAATGTGGGAGGAAAGCCCGAAGTGATGCAGGTCTGAGACGTTTACCACATCGGTGAAACCCACGAGCACGGGTTTGGTGCTGACAAACCTAGAAACATAATCGGGGCGAACCGGGATTCGAACCCACAATCATAGGTTTCTGGCTTGCCCAAGGGACGCAACTCTGCACAGCGAATCGCGGCGCCTTAGACGACTGGGCCACCCGTGCCCCCCTCATGCATTTAGACATCGTTGCAATGATTAAGGTATACTCCCTTTCATTGTATTAAAGAAAACATATTGTGTCATGGGCACTTTCCTAGACTATGAAAAGATAATGAAGAATATTCCTATAGCCTTGAGGAAAACTGTCAACGGAGCAAATACTGTGTTTGTTGGTTGTTTGTTGTTTAACGCCACATTAACGATTGACATCATGAGCATCGATCCACGCGATTGGGATATGAGCATCGACATGCATCAACCAAGTCGGTTGCGGCGCTAAACAACACACAAACAAACATTGTTTGAGTAGTTCATTGCATGCTATTTTGTCTGATGAGGCCGACTGTATATTAGTGGCAGCCAGTTGAACGTGATAGGGGTCCAAATGGACGCCGAAGTAGAAAAGAACGAGTACCGAACAAGTTTGTGACTTGAGAGAAAAGTACTCCACAAGAACTTCATGACAGCATGTCGCAAGGGCATGGTGATAACTGCCTAGCTATTTCACTGTTTAACGTTGGACAGGTATGTTTAAGACTGGGAGAACAAGCCTTGAAGACTCCAGGTTTTGACGTCCCCCAACTTCCATCAATGAAGATTTAATCAAGGAGATAGAAAAAACTGTCAGAGAGACGTATTACTATCGCTGGACTTGACCAAACACAGATCTAAGCCATGTATCCATTGAAACATTTACAGACGAATAAAACATTGGGTGCCATAGTTTCTAAATTCGGATCTTAAGGAAATTTCGAACTGGTTGAGGAGGATTTCGTCAAATTCAAAAGGGGTTAGTCACGGGTGATAGAACATGGGTCTACCACTATGACCCCGAGTCAAAACATTAATCCATGGAATGGCACCATTCCACTTCTCCGGCATCAGTAACGAAAGTTATAGCCACTGTACTCTTGGATGCAAAGGGTTAAGTTCCTTGTTAATAACTTAGAAAATCAAAAGACGATTATCTGTGCTTGCTAGGCTGATATACTAGATCGCTAGAAAATTCTGTCAAAGAAAAGCGGCGGAATACTGACTGCTGGAGTTCTACTATTTCATTACAAAGCCTCTTACAATGCGACAATGTGGGTTCGAAGAGTTTCTTCACCGTCCATACTCGCCAGACCTGGCACCAAGTGATTTCCACCTGTTTCCTAAACCGAAAGAACACCTTCGTGTAAGCGCTATGACGACAACGATGACAGCAAAGCTGCCGTGAATGAGGTTTTCAGGGTGGCTTTAGAAATCGTCTTCCTCACTGTAACTGAAAAGTTTCGCTATCGATATGAGAAGCTGGGTGATTGTATAATTAAAAATACTTTCACAATTGTTGGTTTTGTTTGTTAGACTTAGAACCTTTTGATCAGCCCTCGTATATGTATTGGGATCACTAATTAAATTCTGAAAACCAGTCACTACAGAATCATCTACAGAATCACTTACAATTATCAGATCTTGTAAAGAACTCGTATCTTTAAATATCAATTTAGCTTATTTCTTAAATCTTTAATGTCTAAGAAATCATTAACACGACGTTTTCTCGCAGACAAAATATTTTCATTAATATCACCGACAAGTACCACATTACATGTAATATGGAGCGCATTGTTATGATGTCTCTTGTCATCACTGAGGACGTTTGTGTCAATGACACACATGCTTGTGAAGACATTGACGTCATGAGCATCGATCCATGCAATTGGCATCCGATGACATGTATCAACCTAGTCAGCGAGCCTGAAAACCCCATCCCATCAGTTGCCTCTTACGACAAGCATGGGTTGCTGAAGACCAAATAACGATGGATAAGGAGTTCAGCTGTCTCATACGCTGGATTTCTCTGTGATGTGTAGTGTCCCTTATCCGAGTCAGGTTCCTCTGATCTCCCGAATTCGAATACTACTCGATATGATTAGATCCTTGTATTGCCAGCACCACGCGATAAACCTTCAAGGGTCTGCATCACTTCACACTCACACTCACTCTAAAGGCTGGAGAGAGTACGCTATGAGTGAGCCGTGGTCTGTGTTGATTTATTCGACAACGTCATACCTCTGAATATAAATCGTCAACGCCAGAGAATAACCAGTTCGATTATCCGACGAACAGATTCAATTTGGGATAAAAGGCAAAATAGTGGTGAGAATTAAATGAATGGGTCACCTGAGATCAGTGATAACACCGGTGTTCGCGAAAAGGGGCCAGCATGTCCTACCCTACCGGTAGTGCCCACCCTTTACACAATGCACGTGGGGCAATACCGTGTCCTGAAGAAGGTCATGTGGGCCTTTCTTTGACAAATAACATGCAGAATTTGTAAATGTAATAATTCAATTTATTTTGAGCTAGTCAGCGTCTAGTTCCAGGCAGACCTTAGTGGTTGTAGATGGTACTTGAATTCCTAAATGTCCAACTCCAGGACCTTCCTGCAGGTTGCCACATAGGCATCTGTGTTGCCTCCCTTCTTCTGAGGGCTTTTCAGAAAGGCAGCAATCCTTTCCTGTGATACCATCATTGTGTTGAAAGCCTGAAATACAACGGCGGAAAGGTACGAAAACATGCTCACATTGTTGTTGAGAGGAATGTTTGGTATAATAATAAGATTCAAATAGAAATGCAGAAATGAGTATCATTTTATTTGTAGCCTTTAGCAGTATTCTGGCCACATCACGGTTAGGGAATTTGACCCGGTCCTTCAGCGAAATGTGTGAACATTCTTACCACTAGCCTCCCCATCCCCCCGGAATGTATCTACGAATGTTGATAGATACATGTTTTTACACACAAAACAACATATTTTGTTTGCAAGTTATTTTGTTTCATAGAAATTTCTATGTCAACTCAACCTTAATTTACATCGGGGGAAGAGGGTGGCAAACACAATTTTTGATATTTCATAACGCCATATGATCCCCATGGATCCGGGAGGGCAATGATAACACCATCAATAGACTCACAGTGCGGTCACCCCTCCATACACGTCACTTTTAATCATGCATGTTTTTACGGGTACAACAAAAGTGACGGTATGATATGGCCTGGGTATAATGCAGATTTAACATTATTCCCGACATCAAGCTGACATTCCGTGAAATAACTGAAATAAAAGCCCTAAACCCAAACCACTCACTCACCTTCAATGACGGGTAGTCTGAGAGCGTGTCTTCCCCGAAGTATTCCGTTACACTGAGCAGTGCCTCAATCAGACCGACATCAGCAAGGCTCATAGCGCTACCCACCAGAAAACCTGTCCCGTTCTTCTTCAGGGCCTAGGTGAATAAAAGAGTATGTTTTTAATTGCTTACATCCAGACATGCAGAAGCAGCATCTGTTCATCGGAACATTGTATCTGCATTTAGTCTACTGATTTATCACAGCAAATACTATCCATGTCGTCGTTATCGCGAGCTGACACGAGAGTTGGAATAGTGTTTTGTCTTTTTACATACAATATTTTATAAAGTGTTTAGAGCTATGATTAGTCAATGTCCAATGTCGGCTATGCCTTGTTCCGCTCCAACATGAAATCACAAATACGAAATAACGATTTCATTTATATCATGCAATAATATGCTTCTAACCTGGTCAAAGATAGGCAGATAGCGGGATAAGCCTTTAGACTTGGCTCTTTCTAATACTTCTGTTGGATCTTGGAAGCCAATCTTAAGGAAATAGGAGAAGAAATCACGTGTTCCTTCGTAAAACATGTCAATCCTGAAACACACCAATAAAAGCATTTACAAGTTTTAATATTTTTAAAGCATACTTTCAGCATAATGTACATATATGATGGTGTATTTTGTCAATTATGGCGTAGATGTTCCAAGACACTATACTGAAAAAACCCGCATATTTCCATATATTTTTTCAATTCGCAACTTCAATTCAAAACCACAGCCCACCATTAACAATATATTTTCATAATGATGATAGTATACGTGCGTTATGTGAATGTGTTAAACTCGTTCGTAGTTTTGTTATAAAATCACATAAACTTATGTCATAAATGGTCATTAATGATTTATTGAATACTTCCAAGAACATTTTTTATATCGATTTGTTTCTAAATAAAACATATAGCTGGGTATACCATTCCCAATTTTCTTTTATTTTTCGTATTTCTGTCCTTTATCAATAGTTTGATAAACATCTTAAGATCAATACAGGCTTTAGTTATCTCCACACGGTGAAAGATGCCAACTAAAATATCCATACGGTTACTTACATGTATAGAATGATTGGAAACATATACATGGCAATCTGGATATGCGTGTTTACTTGGTGACACTACTTGATGGTGCTATACTTGATGGTGCTATACTTTTTCAATGTTTTTTTTGTCAGATTACCTGTTCGTTTTGTTTTTCAATTCAAGTGCACAACATGTTTTAATGACATAGAGGAACCGTAAAGCAAATCGTAAATTGCAGACATAAATCAGTCACCAGCGTAACTGTATTATCTACATGTCCCCTTTCATAACTAAGTATTATGTTATGGTTGGAGGAGAAATCAAAGACGCCGCTCATCTTTTGTTAGATAACAGATAGAGCAGCACGTCGTCAAGTGAATAAATGTCCCCTTGAACTACCTCTGGCAACTCGGGATCTAATTACCATCATTTAAAAAGACAAGGAGTGGTAACGCAGCATATTCTATTCATATATTCACAAAAAAAATGTTCTTATTTTTCAGCATGAAATCATGTAACAAATCTTATCCATGGTGATTGTCGCGCTGCTGACAACTAGAGACCTTGAAAAGGAGTTATCATAAGCAGTTTATATGCTCATTTGATAACACCTGGCCTCGACCACCAAACCCTACACACACCATATCATCTGAACATATTAGGTTTATTTTACGTGTGAGAACTCTTCCATAGGGTCGTCAAAACGGGATATTCAACTTATTTCACACACCTTTTTATATTTGCCATGATAGCTATTTTAACCTTTCCATAAAAACATTTCTTCAGGATTTTATGAGCATCTTCTTGAACAGTAAGTGCAAACATATGGACGGACAAACGGACCATTTTCTGTGGATCATTTAAAATAGTTTTGTAAATGTGATTTTATTCCATGAGACTGCGTCAGAGCTACACTGTAAATATAAGGTGGTGTGATATGCCAAACCTGTTTTTATATCAGTCAGTTTGTGTACTATTCAGCAATGCAGACGTTTTAAAGGGTGAGGTGGACAATGACGTGTAAACGATTATCTACATACCCGTATCTACAATTTGACGGGTTTCTTCATATAAAACAATCTTAGTTGTCGTTAATCAGTTTTGCATATATTGGTAAATACTTTTCTACTTTATCTTACTTAGCTGATTCCTCATTTGAATGTCCGTATAGTCCTCCCTTCCTGGCTATGTATCTGACAATGGCGGAAGTTTGTACTAACTCCAAGCCATCAATCTCCAACAGTGGCACCTGTTTAAACAACAGTTTCCCATCTGTAACAAATAATGAGATAGCATTTAGCATAATCAATAGACCTCTGATACAAAGTCGCTTGTGCCTGTACCCGTAAAATGCAGAATGTTCATAACGCCTTATTTCTGTGTCCGGGGATGTTGCGTGCAATGCCTCCAATAGTGTTATTAATTTGTTGGGGCGGTCGGGTAACCTAGTGGTTAAAGCGTTCGCTCGTCACGCCGAAGACCCGGGTTCGATTCCCGACATGGGTACAATGTGTGAAGCCCATTTCTGGTGTTCCCCGCCGTGATATTGCTGGAATATTGCTAAAAGTGGCGTAAAACCATACTCACTCACTCACTCACTATTAATTTGTTGTGTCTTGTTTCGTTCACATTCAAGGAAGAATAAATATAGTAACGGAAAAAAGTAACTGTGTTTCATATAAAGTTAAAAATAAATCCTTTCTGAAATTAGGTAATGTATCCTTCAATACATACATGAAGACATCTCCTCGACTGTATGGTAGTGACTCACAATCTGCACGTTCATGTTCGTTACTCAACGTTGTCAGTGTGGGGTGGAAGTGTAGTGGTATGGGATGGCATCACAACTCGTGGGAAGACGCAACTAATCACTGTTAATGGCAATTTAAATGGCGTACTCTACCGGAAAGCATAGTTCGAGATCATGCTTTACCCGTTGTGCAATGCAGGGACGTAACGTCTCGTTGCAGCAGGATAATTCCCGCCCATATGATGCACGTGTTGTTAGTCCTCCAGACTTCTGCCCCATAGAACATGTTTGGGATGAGATAAAACGACGCCTACAATAGGACTAGAACCAGACGGTAACGCTAGCTCATCTGGGCCAATCTTTAGTTGACATTTGAAACAACACCTCCCATGCTGTTTTCAATCATCTGGCCTATTCAATGCGCCGTCGCTGCCTCGCATGTATCAACACAAATAGTGGTCACACCCGAAATTGCCATTGTTAATTGAGTTGTAACACCAACCCTCTTTCAGGGCGTGTCTTTCAGTCTGTTACCAGGTATGAGTTTCGTCGATGATTTTGTTATGATACACATTGATCAGACGAACGACTAAATATTATCTTTTCAATAACATAACATTTCCACCCCTTTATATGAAGCACAGTTTAGCAGATGATTACCTTCCAGTAACTTTTCATATTCTTGTCTCTCTTCGAGCATTATGTCGGTGAACTGAAAAAAAACATGAATTAGTGATAACGTCAAGTTGCCTTTTAAATATATATCGATATCGTGAGAACGTAATTTGATTTGATGAAAACGTAATTTGATTTGTTGTTTGTGGAGAAGACATTTCATCAAATTATTGTGGAAATGTTTTCCTTTTACAATATAAAGTAAACCCACTTGAATAACATTTTTGTATATGTGCATTAATAACATTAAATGCCACAAAACTGTTGCTCACCTGAATAAGTCAGCGAGTTATCATTTAACGTCACATCGGCAGTATTTTAATCACATAGTCACGATCACCCAAATAAGTAGTCAACACATTGAAATGTCAACAAATACACCAACATTTTTTTTGTAGAACAGATACCGGAATATTTTAACATGGACTAACTGATATAAAGATGAAACACATAGGTACATTTCGACAATGCTTCTTAATCTTCCAAAATGAATCATATTATGTAACATTGTCGAACATTATGCAATACGCACCAGTCAAATTTGCTTTACAAAGTTGCAACTCTGAACGTAATATGCCTTCTGAAATTCTGCTATTTAAATTCAATGTTTCTGTACATTTATTTAAAAAACTAAACACTTTCCATTTTGAATGTCGTTCAGAAAGCTAACATTATGATGACAACAAACATGCAAATGAAATGTCTCAATATTTTAACTGTTTCAAAGGGTTTCAGAAAGTAGTGCATTATATTGCTAACAACAAAGAAACGTAGATTGTAACGTCTTGAAAACATTCAGGTGGTACGAAAGGAAAGGTCGTATGAAGCATATACTGTACACGCAGTGATCAGGTCATTGTCAATCAACCGGTAGTTGTTCAATGGAGACCTCGCGACAGCTCATTTAATGACATGATTATGCATTCGGTTTCGAATTCAACAGGGCGATATCAAATCCACAGGTACCATAGCTCTTAAATAGAAACGAAAAGGTTCATCTGGCATGAGTGAGTAAGTATGGTATTGCGCCGCTTTTTTCAATATTCCAGCAACATCACTGCGCGGGACATCAGAAATGGGCTTCACACATTGCACTCATGTGGGGAATCGAAGCCGGGTCTTCGGCGTGACGAGCGAACGCTTTAACCACTAGGCTAACCTAGTATGCTTTATACTAGGTTTATGGGAAGCGAGGGGAATTAACTCAGCGTTCAAGCGCTGCGTCAGGTGGTTTACGAGACGACGAAGTCCTCAGATAAGAGCATCTGTGCATGTGTCGTGCAACTCGACCCTGTCAGGAGAAAAGCAGCAGGGCGTGTCAATGTAACATTACACTCATGGGCGCAGCAATGATTGTTAATAATAATCTACTGCATGTCCCTCGGTATATGGTTTTGATTGATAGATAAGCAGACTGTTGTTAATTAATACTGATGATAGTAACTATGTGACCATATAAGCTTCTAATAGTTGTTAATAAGTTGTGATTGTAACGTTATATTTGCATGTGTTCCACGTGACCTTCATTTCTGGCATGTGTGATTACAAAATGACATCTAAACCTTAACCCGCGTGTGTGATACATTCACGAAACAACAACAACAATATAATGTTGAAAATACCTCAATGCCACATGCTGCAAGCATGAATCGCACGCCTTCGCCTAAACCACGGCCATCAAAGTAGATGAGTCGGACTGTCGCCATATTGGATATCTGGTGAAAAAAAATGCTCCCTATACTGACGCCTAGTCTCAAAAATATATAATATTTACAAACAACTCCATTAAAATTGAAAATAATTCGAGTGAGATGGGAGATTCAGAACCTGTAGACATCTCGACTTGCTTCATTTATGGCTATGGCATCACAATAAGTTCTGCGGCAAGGTAGAAAAGTTTGGTTCAGGGACTGTGAGACAGGCTATGCAGCTCACATGACCCATTTAGATACGTCGGGGTAATATGTATGGAGTCCTAGAAGCATCATTGCATTGTCGCCCTTACAAAACAAGCAAAAAGTGTCAAACTTAACCACGCGCGATAACGCTACATGTTGATCATTTGTCGCACTGACATGAATTTTATTCAAGGTCAAAATATGGGGTGTTGTCGCATTTTCGCTCAATCTAAAATGTTTGAAAAGGTGCTAAAATGCACGACACATTGATACTGTTGCATTAACGCGTTGTAGCACCTTTTGAACACGGTGAAATGTTATCAAAATTAAAGAAATGGATGTACCAAGATGCAGATATTAAGGTAGTTTCATCTTATACTTACCTGGAATATTGTTTACTAACACTTTAAGCTGGAATAAATATCTAGAATCTACAGCTAGGAAAATGTTGATGTTTGTTAAAATATAATAATTTGCCCTTTGATTTATACTTAAACATTTTATTTATTGGATCAGAAATATGAGGCTGTGGAAAATATGATTGTGTAGAAATATTTCATCTTTATGCAAGCAAACGCGTATTTGTGGTTCGAGCTTCCACCCCAAATGGTATTGTACTTGGGGAATGTGGCAGATATCCATTTTATATATTTTCCCTTAAACGCTGTATACATAAGTGGTTAAACCCAACGACTCTTTCACCCACGCGATACCCAATCAAAGCCTTTAGGTCTATCTTGGTCAAAATGCCAGTCACTCACGCAATAAGAAAAATTTGGCAAATAATATCAAAATCAGATTTTCAGTTTAGGCTTTGGATACGCATGGATGGATCAGGGCGTTGGAAGTGTCAACATCTTCTTTAGTTATTACTTCAAAAAACTAAAGATTGTTTTCAACAAATGTGGATAGAAAAACAAAGAAATAACAAATGTACATATACCTATTCTCTCTTCAAACACCAATTTATACTCCAAGAACATCAAATGTTACATTATCACGACATATTGAATTGTACATATATCATGCAGTCTGACTGTTAGTCAGATGGAACACGCATACCTTGTAAATATGTTGAACTATGGGTCAAAGGCCTCTCAATTTGCCATGAATTTGATAGAGAAGAGGAACTAGACTACAATAGCGGGAACAACATGCGCGAACATGGGGTAACAAGGTTCTAGGTGAGGTCCGGCCAATGTTAACGGTACAGATACCAAGGCAATACTGACAGCAATCAATGAACTGAAGGAATTGTTTAACCAGAGATTACTCGATATTGAATCGAGAATCACAGACAAGATTCATGGTACTATGGACAAAGAGTTAAAACAGTCTTGTGCGGATTTGAAAACAGAATTGCGTGCCCTTGACATTAGAGTAACTATTATGGAGAAGTAGGTTAATACGTGTAGAGACGATTGAATGAAACCAAATCTGCTTTAAATCAAGATGACGAAGGCCATATGAGATTATAAAGATCGAAAGTATCACGAATCAGGCCTACAGGTGCGGTCAGGGGGGAAACAGATAACAAACAGTGTCATAATCGCCACATTTAATTCGGAATCTGATACACAGAAAATAATAGGATTTTAAGGAGAATATATGTTTAGAATCCCATGTGACGGCGTCAATGTTCAAATCACATCGTAGAGCACTGTCAATGTTCAAAAGTGGTACAGCACCGATTGGACTAGAAACGGGGAGATATAAATGTCTGAATTCGTTTGCATTGTACACAGGAAATTGATTTAAAAAGAGAATGGCCTTTTAGAATGTCCCATTTATGATTATGTTAGATATGATGTTGTAAAAGAAGTTATTTAACGTATCCCAAATTTTTATTGTGTACAAATGAAGAAAGGTTTCACCCCTTTTAAAGAACACTTTGATCTTAAAACATCCTGCCCAAAACGGCAATAATATTTTACTGCGACGTGACAAATATATGCAAACACCAATAAAATTGGTTGGTTGGTTGGTTGGTTGGTTGGTTGTTTAACGCTGCACTAAGCAATATTCCAGCTATATGTCGGCGGTCTGTAAATAATCGAGTCTGGACCAGACAATCTAGTGATTGATATTATGAGCATCGATCCACGCATTTGGGTTCGATGACATGCATCAACCAAGTCAGCGAGCCTGACCCCCGATGCCGTTAGTCGCCTCTTACGACAAGCATAGTCGCCTTTTACGGCAAGCATAGTCGCCTTTTACGGCAAGCATAGTCCCCTTTTTCGACAAGCATAGTCGCCTTTTACGACAACCATGGGTTACTGAAGGGCTATTCTCCCCCGGCTCTTCATGGGCCACCAATATAATTGATGTATGCTTAAAACCACAAACCTTAGAATACTTCAATATTTCTATTAACCTTTCTATGACATATTATTTTTGTTCTTATTTTACGTTTCAACAGTAAAAAATATATATATCCAATAATTGTAAAATAGTTATTTGTACAAACAAACCTAACTTCGATCATAAAGTGCCAAATGTTACTGCTACATGTACCCGGAGTGTACTGCTACAACGAATTTATCTTACTGACATGTTTTAATCTGCCATTGTAAAAGAATTGCTTCGAAGCCGGGTATAAGGGATTTATTCTCTCGTTCAGATTTTTTTCTCAGGAGGGATACATAGCATTTTGTCAAGATTACCTGAACCAGTCAGATCACATCATTCTGACACGGAGGTATGATAATCCATTTTATCAACACTAGGGATAATTTTGCATTATCAACAGAACAATCAGCGTTAGAAATTGGCACTAGTCCTGTAGCCCTTGCCAAACTGCCCAGTAGTAAAGGTATCATAAGGACTAGTAGAAATTTAATAGCATTTTAAGTGTAACCGGGGGGTGTTCATGAATAACATAGGTCGTTATTTGTCGTGAGGATTCATTATCAGAACAGACAATCGCCCTGAAACATATTAAATGTAAAGATATATGTACACGTAAATATATATGTATGTTAACATACACAAACACAGATATATAAGAGCACATCACATTATATTCATTCACATCGTCACACCGACGACATCATAGAAATAGATAGATCTCTTGCTCTCAATAAATACATTAAAGGATGTGTTATAACTTACAATAACTATATATACATTTGTATCCCTATACATGTGTAATAATATGATAAATACAATTAATTAATTTCATTAATACACAAGAAAATACAAGCATACCCTGTAGGTGAAACTGGGGCGGGAACTGTGTTCACCAACGTAATTGACAGGACTTATGGTGCCTGCATCTAAATACAAATACAAAGACAAATATACTTACTTAGGTAAAACGGGTTACAACACATAACATACCAATGAATGCTTTACTTTATACATAAATAACATTGTCATAAGCAAACACATACATCATAAATACATACCCACTCGCTCATTCATTCTCAAATGAAACATTTAGGAAAGGTGAAGATATACAGTGCTAACCTAGATAAAACATTTACATGGCTGCAATTATATGACTACATGTAATGACCTACCTAAATATGTATTAAGACTGTGTAACACTACAGCTGATTACACAAATAGATGCAAGTACATTATAACAATACGTATAGAAACATTACTAACCTATTTGGACGGTCTCAGATGAAAATACTACACAGAGCAGAAATTTGTTGTCCGCATGGTCAAGGTGTAGTGGCTGGTGTGCTGGTTAAATGCTGGGGGTTAGTATTTGAAACAAGGCCAATCAGGCGCAAGCTATACTAAACAAAGGACCGACCCAAGCTACCTACTCTACCCCACAACCAGTAGAAGTTAAAATAAAAGAAAACTCCACGCAGAGAACAAGTCGTTATGCAGAGCTGTAGAATACAGCAGCCATACAAGTTTATTTAATTTAATTCAGCATAATAAAAGGTTAAAACACCATTTCATTACAAAACATTACATGTATACAAATACAGAAAATATACATATATACAACACTGCCACATAAGGACTAGTGGACTGAAACTTTTTGTTTCTACCCCTGGCAATTCTAGATTCTACATCCATACTATCACAAGGTGAAAAGGCGAACGTGGCTTGGATGAGAGAAGCTGGGGGTCGATGCGGATGACCCTCCAACCCCCACTGACATGTCATGTTTAGCAGCTTGAGGCTGCACACAACCAAATGTTTTCCCATAGACTTCCATATGTTATTTGTGTAATTAACTAAGCATTCACCGGCGATTACATGTACATGTCCCACAAGCAGCAATAGAAACAAAAACATGACTAGCTTTGCCAGCTCCGTTTCCCAGTACATGAGGCAGAACACACCACCCCCAGTTCTGCACCAAATGTAAATTGTTTGAAAATATCTGTGATCACAGTCAGCATAAGTCATCATGTTATAAATGACGGCACTAAAAATTGAAAAAAACCATTACCAGTTTTAATTACTGGATGGATTTACATTTAAAAAATAAAATAAATCTTACACAAAATCATCCACTCAAGTAGCCAGATGATTCAATATGCACTGAAGGCTACGGAAACTGCTACGACTGATTCTTATTTGGTGTAGTAAAACAAAGGTGTGAGTGCGCTTTCATCAAAAGTTTAAGGGGATGGAGGCCTGTGGGGGAGTTTAAGGGGTTGGGAGGCCTATCTATGGTGACCCTAGGAGGTCGCGTTTTCTTTACGCTAGTCTAATGCAAATACAACTGTGCCCAGTTTCAGCCAACGGACACACTTGTGTCAGCAAGATTTAGGTGATGTATTCTTATTTACTGAGGTGGGGATCAATAAGCTTCTGGGTGATAATAATGCTGTTAAGCAGCAATGTAGGTTCAGAGCAGATTGTCTGTTATGTCCGTATTTTGTCTTCCTTCTTGGTCACTGGGCTCTGATAGTCTATAAGCAAGCCAAATTATTGGCACGACTGAGGATGACAAAATCACACCATGATTTTTGAAGTCAAATATTCACAGATGAAATAAAACTTTGAAAGCAATCAGGGACTCACAGCTTAATGGTAGTAATCATCACATAGAGGCGGACACCTGAGTCGAATCCAGATTTCGGGGAGAGGAGACCAGAAAGTGGAATAACTTTGCAAGCAATAGTCATATAGTGAGGTGTGACCTTTTACAGTGTTTGGTAGTCTGTTTCTCTACACGTTGGCATGTAATAAGGGGGTAATACAGCAATTATGTAGGTCACCAGAGGCCGAAAGGTCACGACATTTGTGCCCTGCTTAAAATATAACCATCTGTCAGAAAATATACTCAATATACCACACCAATGGCACTTACCCCAAATTATAATTGACGACATATTTGTTATAATTGACTTCAAGCAGTTTCAAGGTCTATTAAAAGTCCGAAAAGTGGAATTTATTTTCTTTTGTGGTATGGTATAGAACGGTTTTTTATGTGTTTTAAAAACATGTCATTTCGCGCTAAAAACGTGCCAACGTGTATGGAGTTTGACTGCTTGAAATACGTCTCTTACTATATAGAACAGCGTTGATTACTCATCATCTGAACTATCATCATCATCACTTGCTTCTAATTCAACCTCGTCCTCAAGTGGCGGATTGCTACATGTCTGTAACTTTCAAAGGTATATACACTTCATGTTATCCTTTAGGCAGGTACAGCTCTCTACTAAGCACATCTGTCGACAGTTACATGCAATCAGTTCCATCACTGTCTCAGGAGTAGGTTGTGTGTTGCCCAAGTCTCCACCCGCATCTGGTGAGGGAATCTAAGGTAGAGCCTCCATGCTCCTTTTCCATACATTGATATTTGGCCCTCTTTCAATGGTTCTGCAGTGAAGAGGTGCAACGAGGAAGTTGCCAAGCCTCAGCCTTTCTTTCTGCACAAAGACCGCGATGCAATGTTCTCAGTAGGTGTCTTATGCTGAATAGGCTGCACGTCAGAGGTTGAAGTGCCTTGAACAGCTGTGGTGAAACCAGTTTGTGCCTAAGCATATCAATGCGTTACTGTGTATGACGCTGGTGTCACAGAGCCGTGCTCTAATAAACAGAGTGTCATTAAACAAGTGTGAAGTAATGATAAAAACGTGTTAACAGGTTCACTGGTTTATTAATCAATTATACAAAAAGATGACAATAAAAGATCGGCTAAACCCAATCTGCGCTGACTCAGATCACTGATTAATTACATCAGAGCATAAACAAAAGCGAAAGAAACTGTATTAGAGTTATATACATGTGGGTAGATAAAACAACACGTTGACAAGATATTGACCATACAGCCAGTTAAGTCTGCTGCAACCAATTAACACCCGAGTCAATTAACCCACTCCACATTCTAATGAGTGAAGAACCTCGGCTGGGTTAAATAATCGGAAATAAACACACACAGAGACCATCCCTAAAATAGGCCACTTAGACTACAAAACGAGTACCTCTCAATATTACAAAAGTCTGGTAGACTAAAGATTAAATCACTTTGACTGATAAATGAAAATACTAAAATTCCCAAACACGAGACAATCACGGGAAGTATGGTTGTCCAGGGATAACTAGAAAAACGGAGTATTGGAAACACAAGTTACTAAGTAGCTAGACAATCACGGGAAGGTTGGTTGTCCAGGGATAACTAGAAAAACGGAGTATTGGAAACACAAGTTACTAAGTAGCTAGACAATCACGGGAAGGTTGGTTGTCCAGGGATAACTAGGAAAACGGAGTATTGCAAACCCTAGTTGCTAAGTTAAGTTCAGTACAAAGAGACTCCGTACTAGTTCGAACAGTGTCCTGAAATCCACTTACTAACGAAACCTGAGTTCCGAATGAGACCACCGACCAAAATGGCCTAACGATTTCTAACGATAGACAAAAGTCTATATATACGGAGCGCGGACCTCAGAGGGCTCAACCTCTCCTGGAATACCACATACTTGAACGCTTAGCCAACTTATGTTTCTAAACACAGCGAAAACACGAACAGCAAATTAACTACTATTCTCACACGCAGAAGAAACGCAAGTCGAGTATGCAGTATACATGTTATTTATTTTCAACAGTAAAGACAAGAAATACTAATAGGGCAAGATTGACAAAAAAATTGACTGAAGACAGTTTAATGGATTAAAAGGCAGATGACATAATTGTTTTTTTCAAATGTTAAGGGCTTACACAGTTTCGGGTCAATACCCAAAATGTCAGTCAATACCTGGTGTGACCACCATTAGCATTGATCACTGCCACACATCTCCTGTACGTGAGTGGATCAGACGATTTGTGAAGGCCCTAGGGATCCTCCTGCACACATCCAGAGCAGCTGTGCGTAGTTCATAGACAGTTGTAGGGACTGGGCGCACATTGTGCAGACGCCTTTGAACCTCATCCCACAAGTGTTCGATGGGGTTCAGATCAGAGCTGAGGGCTGGCCACGGTAGAACACGGATATTGTGTTGTTGCAGAAAGGCCATGGTAGCTCTGGCAACATGCATATGGGGACGAGCGTTGTCCTGCTGGAAAATGTGTTGTTGATGTTGTGCAAAAAACTGAACAACGTGGGGTTTGATCACTTGGTCGATATACCGCTGAGCAGTGACGCCGTGTCCACGACCTTGACCAACATTCAGAAAGCACATGGGTCCAAGTCTGGCATTAACGCTAGGTCCACCCCATGGATCCCTTTCCACAACGTTTCTGTCAGCGAAACGATCACCTCGACGCCGCGAATTCTGACTCATCCGTCTGCACGGGAGACACAAAAGCGACTCTCATCAGAGAAGATGACACGCCTCCACTCACGCTGACGCCAATTGTGATGACCCTGTGCCCACTGAAGTCGTGCTTGTCGATGCCGTGGTTGGAGAACAGGACGACGTGCTGGTCGGCGACATCTGAGGTCGTTGGAACGAAGACGTCGGATCACAGTGTCCCGGCTAATGTGTCGATTATGTGTTCTTATGGTCTGTCGAGCACTTTCACTTGCAGTTAGGAACGGATGTCGCTGGTGTTTACGGGTAATCTGCCGATCTTGTCGAGGTGTGGTGACCCTAGGACGATCGCTCCGAGGAAGGTCATCTTTGGTCTGTGTAGCATTGTATCGATGCAGGAGACGGTAAATTGTGGTTATATTAACGTTGAAATGACGGGCAACATCTTGGACAGACTCTCCAGCTTCCAAACGTCCGATAGCCTGGTTTCTCTGAATTTGAGTTAGGCGTGGCATTGTTGACCAAGGAGTGGTAGGCCCAAGAATCGGCCACAGTTTTATACCCACTACAGTTCGTGACAGTTCGTGCATTTTCGATTTCGCGAGGAATGGGTGCATGATACCCACATATTCATTGAAATTGTGCGTTTTGGCGATTCGTTTTTTATGTTGCGATTTTACTCGGGGCTTCCAAAATGCAACCAAAAATATTGATAACACCATCAGGCTTCACTACATGCTAAAACTCGTATCAATTTATGGTTCCGTGTTTGTTACCTATTTGCTTAAAACCACTTGCGTTTCTTTTGCGTGTGAGTATATATCCATACTGAATATGAAAGTTTCAAAATAGAGCTCTGATCGTAAACTACCCAACTGTGCTATTAACGATTAACAACAAGCTATGTACACTTATTGATCAGGTAAAAATGATCATAAATACATGAGAAATATCTGAATGTGTATATAAATTCCCCTAACATTTCAACACAAGAATAAGAGAGAACCTATAACAGATAACATCA